CCCCCTCCCCAGCCACTTCACTGAGGTGAAGCCTCCAATGAAGCAGGTTTGGAGGCTGCTGCTTTCCTTGCTCAGCCATTTCCAAATGTCCAGCCTGGATTTGGAGCCAGCCCTGGATGGGTGGTGATGCTCTGGGGGAGCAGGTCACCCCCCAGCACCCAGCAGGAGGCAGTTTGGATGGGCAGGGGAAGGTTTCCTCTGGGCTGTTGGGTTCAGAGCCCACTGGAAAAAACAACAACAACAACAACAACCCACAAACAAACATCTATAAAGATATTTACAGGTACAAACCTGATGGTTTTTTTTTCAGCACAGGGTGGCCAGTGAGAAGGCTGTGGGATGCCAAGGAGCTAGAAAGGAGGAGAGGACCTGCTGAGATCCACAGGGCCAAGAGATGCTGGAGCTGGGGCACAGTGCCTGGAGCAGGGCCCTGCTAAGATGCTATTCCTGGTTCCCAGGAGTATCTCACTGCCATCATCTTGGTTAAACCACCCCTTGATGTGTCTGGCAGCTGTTCCTCACATTGGGGACAGTCTTCTCCTCTGGGTGGTTGGCCAAGGGGTGCAAAGAAGCACCAAACCCAGCTGGTGATTCAGGGGGTGTCAGGGAATGAGCTGGAAGGTTCAGGTTGGAAATGGAGGAGGAGATGGAGGGAGGCCCAGAAAATTATCAGAGTGTGGAAATCCAGTGAGTGGGATCTGATTATCCACTGCTCCTCATCTCACAGGAGCTGAGGGGAGCCCAGTGGGATGGCCAGGAAGTGGGTTTCAGGCAAACCAAACACAATTCTCAGCCCTGCAGTGCTTGATGGAACTGGAACTCGGTGCTTCAGGACCTCATTTGGAACCAAGACAATAAATGGGCTACAAATAATCCATCTGTGGCTACTAAACACAACCCCAACAAGCTACTTAGAGGATGTGCTGGGTGCTGGTGGGATATGACCAAAGGATGGACCTCGGGTTCCTTGCTTTCCTCTTCACCTCTCCTTGGCTGTGTTTGAGGGACCCACCAGACCTCGGATGCTCTTGCTGCCACAATTTAAAGGGGATATCAGGCATAGAATCATAGAATAACAGACTGGTTTGGGTTGGAAAGGACCTTGAAGTTCCACTCCAGCTCCCACTAGACCAGGCTTAGGATGTGTAGGGGTCTCTGAGCTGGACTCTACATCCTCAGCCTCCCCTGCTGCTGTGCACAACCCTGGGACAACTGCTGCCAGGACAAGCAGCTCTTCTTGGAGGTGGAAAAAACTGTCCCACCATTTACATGCTGCCATCCTGATGTGCCATGGGAAGGTTCCCTGCTACTGCCACGGGGCAGAGGCAGCTCTCTGAACCTCCCTCCTTCCTTAAAGGTGATCCTAAAAATAGTGGCAGCATTTCCCTTCCTCAGACAAGAAAAGAAACAATTCTGGTGTGGTTGATGGAGAGCAGCTGGTTATCCATGGGTGGCTGGAGAGGTGCTGCCTCATGTCCCCTCTTCCTCTGGATGAAGGCTTTTTCTTTCTTCTTTTAAGCCTGAGATAAATAAAACCCTACTTACATTCAAAAAGAACAAACAACAAACCAGTCTAAAGGGACCCTCTTGGATGGCAAGAAGAGTGTGGCTGGGTTTGCTTGGACACTGGAAGTGACACAATACATGAGATCATGGGAAAACGTGACCGTGAGGAGAGCCAAGCTCCAGGAGCAGGTGGTGGCACAGTGATTCCCTTCCCAGAAAGGGCAGTTGGCTGGCGAGGAGGAGGGAAAGCCTTCCTGGAGTGAGGTGTGTCGTCAGCAGAAGATGGGGAGGAAATCCATGCAATGGCTCAGGTCTCCCCCAGGGAGGTACCAGAGCTCAGGCTCTGCCCTGGTTTTTGGGTCCTTTCTCTCTCTGGTCCCTGAGATGCTGTGGGAAGCTCTGCTTCATAGAATCCCAGACTGGTTTGGGTTGGAAGGGACCTTCAGGATCATCCAGTTCCAACCCCCCTGCATGGGCAGGGACACCTCCCACCAGCCCAGGCTGCTCCAAGCCCCATCCAACCTGCCCTTCAACACTGCCAGGGATGGGGCAGCCACAGCTTCCCTGGGCAACCTGGGCCAGGCTCTCACCACCCTCACAGCAAAGAATTTCTTCCTCATATCTCATCTAAAACTCCTCTCTTTGAATTTTAATCCATTCCCCCTTGTCCTCTCCCTCCCTGCTCTTTTCCAAAGCCCCTCCCCAGCTTTCCTGGAGCCCCTTCAGGCACTGGAAGGTGCTCTGAGGTCTCCTTGGAGTCTTCTCTTAATGTCTTTCAGAGCTGAAGAGGTTTGGAAAGCTGCTGTGGCAGCCCTGCATGTGTCCATGGGGCATCTTGCAGCAAAGGTTCCCCCAAGCAGAGAAGCTTCAGGCTCCTGCTCCCTCTATGCACCCTCCAAGCAGTGGTGGGAGCAACCCTGGGGCAGCAAATGCTGACCCCAAAGGGTCCCAGTGATGCTGGGAGCCTGAGAGGCCTCTCTGAGCTTTCTGGCAGGGTTCAGGTTGCTCAACCCCAAGCTCACCTTGTTGTGCAGCCCTCCAAGCTTGCTGCAGTGCCCAGGCTGCCAGCCCGGGACTCCCCCAGTCACTGGCCATCTGGAACCTCCTGGCACGAGCCCCTGTCCTGGGGAGCTTGCCCAGCTCCACCAGCCAGGGCAAGGGTTTGCTTAGCAAGCTCCTTGCTGGCTCCTGCTGGTCCAAACCGAATCCAAATGAGGGTCCTGAAGATGCTGGGAGGGCTGGAGCAGCTCTGCTCTGGAGCCAGGCTGGGAGAGTTGGGGTGTTCAGCCTGGAGAAGAGAAGGCTCCAGGGAGATCTTAGAGCACCTTCCAGTGCCTGAAGGGGCTCCAGGAAAGCTGGGGAGGGGCTTGGGACAAGGGCAGGGAGGAAAAGGATGAGGGGGAATGGATCAAAATTCAAAGAAGGGAGATTTAGATG